CCACACCTCCTAATAATCCCACTCCCTATGGGCCTAGCATTCACACACATGAGCCTATAGGGGCCATACTTATTCAAACCACTACACATATTCTGCCCAGTGGTCTACTTTGTTTATTCTTGGTTTTGTCTTATCAAATAAATCTAGTAAATGTTTGGCCAAGGTATTTGTGTTCCTTGAGAAAAATCTATTTGGGAAATGAAATTTTTCTCTGTCTGAAAGCCACTTATAAGTTTAGTGTCACATTGGTTGATTTTTTTAAAAGTATTTATTTATTTATTTATTTATTTATTTAATGTGCACGAGTGTTTGCCTGTATGTCTGTACATGTACCACATGTGTGCCTGGTACTCTTCGATGTCAGAAAAGAGCACCACATTCCCTGGAACTAGAGTTACAAATGGTTGTGAACCACCTTGTGGGTGCTGGGAATTGAACCCAAGTCTTCTGCTAATAACTAGAACAACAAGTGCTCTTAAGAGCTGGGTCGTCTCTCACATGGGGTGATTTTAATAGACAATACACTCAGTCAACAGTACCCTTCATCATTAAAGATATACCCAGTGAGCAGGTACTTACAGTAGTGAGGTAATCATTGGTTGACTGTTGGAGAGATAACTTGGGCCCATCATCCACACAGTCTGTATAAATCGAAGGGATACATTCTAAAGGTGGCTGCTCGCATTTATTTCTTAATGGAGAATATTTTCTTACCACGTCTACACTTCTCAAGGTGTCATGCTGTTTGCACCTTCCGAGTGCACTGAACATGGAAAACGGTGGATAAATGTATCCACGCTCTGTGTGTGTGTGGTGAGAGAGGGGCAGCAATCAATACTGGATGCCCTCCTCAATTGCTCTCTAGCTTATATTTTAAGGCAAGGTCTCACTGACCATAGAGCTCATTGATGTTGCTAGACTGGCGGACAGAAGCCCCAGGGATCTGCCTGCCCCTACCTCCCCAGTCCTGGGAGTACACGGATGCAGGCTGCTGTGCTGCTTTTTATGTGCATGCTGGGGCTTTGAACTAATGTCTTCATGCTTGTGTGGTAAGCACGTTAGTGAGTGATCCATCTACCCAGCACTGTTAAATGTGTTCTTTTTAACTGGAAATAGGTATAGTGTTTATAAATAGGATTCCTCGCCTTGAAGTATTTTTTAGATGACTCAGGCCACAAAAGAAGTCCATTCATAGGAAAAAAGAAGGAATATTTAGTGTCACATGACAGGCTTCTTGTTCGCATTCCAGTTCCATAAGCTGACTTGGAATTCACAGGAAAGAAACATCTAATAGATTCCTTGGTAAATGGAAGAAGGTAACAGGACCATAGCTGTTAACAGTTAGGCGATGTCTAAACTCTCTAGTTTGCTTTCCAGTTAAGAAATTGCAGGTCAGGCACACTGGCACTTGCCTCTAGTCTCTTCCGCAGAAGGCAGAGGCATTCAGGAGTTCAAGGCTAGCCTGGAAAGCATAGCAAGACTCAGTGTTGAAAATGAGAGAGGCCAGTAAGGTTGCTCAATATTAGATAAGGGCCTGATGACCTGGATTTCCTTCCTAGAACTTACTCTGTGCTAGGAGAGAACTGGCTCCCGCAAGTTGTCCTTCAGCATCCAGACATGAGCGATGGCAAACGAACAAATACAAAACTAATCATCTCTAAAATGTGCGACAGTGAGAAAGAGCTTGTGGGAGTAACCAACCAATATCTGATTTGATTGAAGGCTTACTCCCTGAGTTGGAACCTATCCCCACCATGGCTCAGGTGGCCAAGAACCTGAGACTAGATAGGCCATGGACATAGGGGACAATGAAATACTACTGTTCTGTTAATGGAATGCAGCAATGAAATTACTTCTGATTACATTCTGCTGTAGTCATGTATCAGCGTCTTGCTCAGCCATCAACAGAGAAGCTTCCTCCTGCAGTAGATTGGAACAAATACAGAGACCCACAACTGAACAGTGTACAGAGAAATGAGAGATCTTGGAACATTCAGTCCTAACTGGGGCTCCATCAAATCCTTCCCCTCAGGGCTCAGGGCTCCCTGCGGAAGAGGATGCAGAGAGGTTGTAAGAACCAGAGGGGATGGAGGACACAAGGAAACAAGGCCTTCTAAACACAGGAGGACTGATGCACATATGAACTTGCAGAGACTGTGGCAGTGTGCACAGAGCCTACAGAGGTCTAAGCCAGATGGGGTCCTGTGCTCAGAGGGGAAGTGGACATAGGCCCTATCCCTAGCTCAGAAACTATCTCCAGTTGGTAACCACTCACGAAGGGAAAAATAGTTATCTCCAACTGAAGGCCCACGCCCAGCAGTAGATGGCCAACACGAAGTGAACTCCCTGGCATTTTTGAATGTTCTTTGATGCATAATGTTTTGTCAGGGATTTTTTTTGAACCTTACAGATCTTTTCCATATATATTATGGCTTCCATTTTTGTATTTTTATGGGATTTCTGTGAAAGCCAACATGTGTGTCTCTGCCTCTGCATTTTCTTCCTTTGGGTCTTCTTCTTCTTCTCCTTCTCCTTCTCCTTCTCCTTCTCCTTCTCCTTCTCCTTCTCCTTCTCCTTCTCCTTCTTCTGTTTGTTTTGTATTATCGCAGTTTGCTTGAGTTTTTAAATTATTATTATTTTTAGATTCCTGTTTGTTTTCTACACACACACACCGGGGGGGGGGCAACTTGAATGAGAGGGGAGGAGAGAAAGATCTAGAGGAGTTTGGAGAGGGAAAGCTAATCAGATTGTATTGTATAAAAATATCTACTTTAAAAACTAGAAAAATACATAAAAGTGAGAGAGATAAATGAGAGAGTTGCAGTCTATTCCCAGTAAACATTCTTTATTCACTATTACTTTATTTCTTTATTCTCCTTTTACCGCTTTACAGATCCGTTATTTATTGTGTCCAGTGAGCGAGACCGTGCACAGGCAAATATCCAAGCCACCCTGGTTCGAAGCAGACTGGTAAGTCTAATTCATCTACTAAGACAACCCAATCAACCCGAATCAACCGGTTTGGCTGCTCACTAACCAGGATTTGGGGATTGTAGGAATTACTGTACTATGATTACTGGGAACCAGGCCTGTTAGTACATGTAGCTCATTTCAAGGATTAAGTAGTAGTGAACAAGGAACACATACACTGGGCTGGAGACATGGCTTAAGGTTAAGGACGCTTGCTGCTCTTGGAAAAGGATGGAAATTCAGTTCCCAAGACCCAGGTCTGGTGACTCAAAACTGAGTTGCTCATAACTCCATTTCTGGAGGTTTGGATGACCTTTACTGACTTCTGTGGATACCTGGATTCACACACGCACACGCACATGCACACGCACACACACACACACGCAGGAACCCATAAACTAAGTCAATGGAAATTAAGTATGCACCCATGCTAGAGAATTTAAGTGTTGGCAAAGCCTATGTAGTACAGAATAACACGGTCCAGGCCCTGCCACAGAACTATCATTGTTGCCAGCTTTTTTAGTATCTCCATAGAATAGTGTGTGCATGTACAAGTAACTCCTCCTCTGCTGCTGCATACGTTGTCTGTACTTTTGGGAAAACTTACAGTATGATTTGTATTAGACCATACAATTTTGACCTTTCCCCCTCTGCCTCCCGTTCCTAACACCAGAAAAAAGTCCCCAACTTTCGGTCCATGTTCAGTAACCTGTTTCATCATCCAAGATACTCTATGTACTGGAACAAGTCAGACCCTGTCCCATCACATGTCACTCGAGAATGGAGGGGACAAGAAGCCAAACACAAAGAAGTTCTCCGGCTTCATGCTGTGTATGTACCAGGGGTTCTTGCTCTTAAACATAGTCATGTTTTTAATGAATATATTGATATATTAAAGAATTAATTACTCTGCATGGTTTGAAATTTTACTGTGATGTAAGCCCCTCTTTCTAATTCAGGGCTGATCAAGAAGTAATGGCTATGCTTTTGTACCCTTTCCCCTAGCTGAGCTGCCTTGTCTGGCCTCAGTGGGAGAGGATGCATTTAGTCCTGATGTGACTTGATGTACCAGGACAGGTTGGTGCCCAGATTGGGAGGCACCCTTTCTCTGCAGAGAATGGAAGGGGGAAACTGGAGAGAGTAAGAAGGTGGGACTGGGAGGAAAGGTCGGGGAGGCTGTGAATTATTCACTGTAAAGCGAATTAATAAATTAATGAAAAAAGAAGCAATGGCTATACATTTATATAAACATAAATATGTATATATAAATGTATAACCATTACTGCTTAATATATATATATAACCATATAACAGTTAATATCATGTAATATATTACTGTAATACAATATATAATTACACATAATTGTATCATATATTACATATATCATAATATTGTTACACATGCTTATATTATTATATATGACATGTTATATATTATGTATTTTATATTGTATATGATAAATAAATAATATGTATTAAACCATATAGATAACTATATAACTCTATATAGCTAAAAGTTCTCAGAAGGTTGGAATGCATATTTATGTGTATGTTAAAGAATAACTTGCCACCAAAGACAGGGCTGTTGTTTCTTTGGTTCACCTTAGAAATTGCAGCTGGTCTTCTTTTCTAGAACTTTAACTATGGTTGGTTTTGTTTGTTTATTTGTTTTTATTGTTCTTTTGTTTTTGAGACTTACAAGTAAATCACCTTCAAAACTAATTCTATCTAAATCTTGATTATTTAAATGACTTATAAGTCATGGTAAGTTAATAAGTAATAATGCCAGAAAGGGCATAAAATCACCCTTTGAAATTCTATTTTCATTAAGAGTGGCAATGTTTTTTATTTGGGATTTTATAAACCTCCTCATTTTCCAGCTGTTACTTTTCCTCTTCCCAGTTCCAATAATTGCATCTAGTCTAAGACATAGGACAGCTAAATGCTCTCTCCGTCTCTCCTACAACACATAGAAACATGACGTGTAGGGTTGACGACTTGAATATCTTTCTCTGCTTCATTTTAGAGCAGATACCTCTTTCCAGATGCCGAAGGAAAAGTACGAAGATCCGGATGTTTCTGGAAAGAACCGCTATAAGTTCTTTGACAGGTAGAAAGTAAAGAGTAATGAATGTTTGAGCCCTGGGGCTGTTGGGGGAGGTCCTCATGGTGGCGGCAGGGGTTACACTGTTTAGACAGCTGCAGCATGTCAGCCATCATGCTTAGCTCTTTACTTGAATGCTACTTAACTTTCACAACAGACATATCACAGACCGTGCATGAGGTACCATGGCAACAAAGGATGCATATTTGATAAGAAAACAGTTATCAAATGAAGCCAGATAGAACATGTATCTTGAAATCCCAGTGCAAGGAAATTAAGCATTCCTTCCCAGACCCTCCTCCAACTACGCCCTCTGACCTCTAGGTATCTCATTAATATGGAGATCTCTTGAGGCTCTGCAGCCTATAGTCATGTCCTCTACCTGTGCTACCTGTGCTACCTGTGCTATGTGACTTTAGGCCACAAACCTTTCTTTAGGAGGGGTTGTGGATAAGTAAAAGGAACCAGGGCCCAGGAGCAAGGCTGAACTCCTACTGTCCCATTAGGGTCACCGGAGTTCAAAGCAGACTCAACTGGGTACCCCACTGCCTCTCATAGCCCACCGCCCCACATGTAAATATTTCCTGATAGAAGTGTTCTGATACTTTTTTTTCCTTTAGAAAAAATGTTAACTTGTTAACTAAAGTAGATACAAATTCTTGGCTCTTGGTGGGAAGGGGAGGCTTTTAAGGAAGCCCTTGATTGTTTCAGAAGGTTTCAGGAACTTGAAAAGCTACTGGAGATTAACAAGTATCAAAAGCCCAAGTAGAGATATGCTTCTGAGAGTGTGGTTGCACAGGAGCTGCCAGAGTGCACACTGGGAAAGCAGAGCTCCAGATGTGCCCTATACTGGCTGTATCTCCTGGGTCACATCTGGAAATTTGCATTTTAAATAAGAACATCTCCAGTGATCTTGTATATACAAAACTTTGAATATTACCTTTTTTTTTTTTGGTTTATTCAAACTCACTTAACTTTAGGGAAGAGTAATTAAAATAAGAAGAAAATTTTGAGCTGGTGTGAAAACCTCACACGTGTGCTTTCTCCCTTACCCCCAGGCCCTTCCTGCCATTTCTTCAACAGATGCCACTCAATGTTGTTTTAGCATCAGCCAAGTAAGTGACTTTATTTCAAAAACCTTCTTCTTTTTTTTTTAAATTTTTTTATTGGATGTTTTATTTACATTTCATATGTTGTCCCCTTACCCCATCCCCCACCCACTCAGGAACCCCTATCCCCTCACCCCTCCTCCTCCTTCTCTGCGGATGTAACCCCTACCTACCCCCCCCACTCCCACCTCCCCACCCTCAAAATTCCCACCCCCTGGGGCATCCAGCCTTCATGAGGTCAAGGATCTCATCTTCCACCTATGCCTAGCAGGGCCCTCCACTCTTACGTATTCAGCTGAAGCCCTGGATCCCTCCCTAAGTGCTCCCAGGCTGGTGGTTTAGACCCTGGGAGCTGTGGTTGGTTGGTATTGTTGCTCTCCTCATGGTGCTGCAAACCCTTTCAGCTCCTTCAGTCTTTACTCTAACTCCTCCATTGAGAACCCCATTATCAGTTCAATGGCTAGTTGTGAGCATCTGCCTCTGAATATGCCAGACTCTTGAAGGCTGCTGAGGAGACATCCATATCAGGCTCTTATCAGCATGCACTTCCTGACTTTCACATCAGCATCTACCTTTGGTGACTGCACATGGGATGGATACTCAGGTGGAAAGGTCTTCAGATGGCCCCTCCTTCAGTTTCTGTCCCTCACCTTGTCTCCATATTTGCTACCTTGAGTATTTTGTTGCTCCTTCTAAGAAGGACCGAATCACCCCCACTTGGTCTTCCTTCTTTATGAGCTTCATGTGGCCTGTGAGTTGCATCTTGGGCATTTCAAGGTTCTGGGCTAATATCCAATAATCAGTGAGTGAATACCATGTGTGTTCTTTTGTGATTGGCTTACTTCATTCAGGATGATAATTTCTAGTTCCATCCATTTTCCTAGGAATTTCTCAAATTCATTGTTTTTAATAGCTGAGTAATACTCCATTGTGTAAATATAGCACATTTTTTGAATCCATTCCTCAGTTGAAGGACATCTGGGTTCTTTCCAGCTCCTGGCTATTATAAATAAGGCTGCTATGAACATAGTTGAGCATATGTCCTTGTTATATGTTCGAGCATCTTCTGGGTATATGCCTAGGAGTGGTATAGCTGGATCCTCAGGTAATGCTATGTCCAATTTTCTGAGGAACCGCCAGACTGATTTCCAAAGTGGTTGCACCATCTTGCAGTCCCACCAACAATGGAGGAGTGTTCCTCTTTCTCCACACCCTCGCCAGCATCTACTATCACCTGAGTTTTTAATCTTAGCTATTCTGACTGGTGTGAGATGGAATCTCAGGGTTGTTTTGATTTGCATTTCCCTGACGACTAAGGATACTGAACATTTCTTTAGGTGCTTCTCGGCCATTTGAGTTTCTTCCATTGAAAATTCTTTGTTAAGCTCTATACCTCATTTTTTAATAGGGTTATTTTGTTGTCTGGAGTCTAATTTCTTGAGTTCTTTGTATATATTGGATATTAGCCCTCTATCAGATGAAGGATTGGTAAAGATCTTTTCCCAATTTATTGGTTGTCGTTTTGTCCTATTGACAGTGTCCTTTGCCTTACAGAAACTTTGCAATTTTATGAAGTTCCATTTGTCAACTCTTGATCTTAGAGCATATGCCATTGGTGTTCTGTTCAAGAACTTTTCCCTTGTGCCCAAGTGTTCTAGGCTCTTCCCCACCTTCTCTTCTTAACTCACCTTGACTCACTTCACATTTGCTTCCAGAAGGCAGCTCTCTAGGCCAATACTTTTCGAGCTACAGATTGCCAGCCACCATAGGCAGGAGCCTTCCTGGTCCTTCTTGTGATTTTCTGCATGCCAAGGTCTGGGTATTATTGTATATGGAATATTAAAACTCACTGTTAATTTTTTTTTAGTGGATCATGAGTAATATTTAAAAGAATAAGAAGTAACAAAAGCATCAAATGTGTGTCGCTGTTTTAATCCCCTTTGTTTAGTAAGCATGAATGACTATGTTGCTAGGGATACAGTGGTTTTCACCTGGTTAGGTAGTATTTTAAGTGTTCACATTGAGTTTCAGCCTTTACTTTTACCCTTGTAGGGCGGGATCGTTTCTTTTTTCTCCCGAGTCTTCCAAGTATGCAATCCTCCCTACCAAGTCCACTGTGGGCACACAGACTGATTACCGGGATGCAGATGTTCAAACAGATCCATACTCTCCAGAATATGTTGTGTGTCAAGACACCATTCCTGAGCTCTTGACTCTGGCTAATCTGACTTGGGGTGAGTTGGTAACTCTCACTGAATGTTACAGATAGCAGTGCACACTGCTGAGTTCTTGGGAATGACCCATATCCAGGCAATTCTTGTTTAAACAGTGGAACAATAGCACACATATTGGGAGAAAATGTTTGCATAAAAAAATATCAGGAAGGGGCTAGTCTCTGTCTTCAGAATATACAAGAATGGCAAACAATTCAACAGCAAGAAAGCATTACCTCACTTTAAAATGGGCAATGAGCCTGAATAGACATTTCTCAAAGAAAGACAGTGGTCAGCAGATTATTAAAAAAAAAAATCATTCCAGAATGCAATGGAGAGATGAAATGAAAGGAGAGTTAGTGCTGTAAGGTAGAAGAAAAAAATATGGGATGAGGTTTAGCCAGCAGCAGCAAAACTAGTTTTATTTGTAGACAGTGCTCATTTAAAAGCCTGATAAGGGACCAGGATGATGACCCAGTGCTTAAGAACACTGGCTGATCTTCCAGTGGACCTGGGTTCAACTCCCAGGACCTACATGGTACCTCTCAATCATCTGTGCCTTCAATTCCAGGGAACATGGCTTCTTCTGGCCTCTGCAGAGTGCCAGACATGCAAGTGGTGCAATATTATACATGCAGGCAAAATACCCATGCACATAAAATAAAATTGTGATGAAAAAACAAAAACAACCAACCAAATGAACAAAACCCTGGGCTGGAGAGATGGCTCAGTGGTTAAGAGCACTGACTCCTCTTCCCAGCAACCATATGGTGGCTCACAACCATCTCTAATGGGATCTGATGTCCTCTTCTGGTGTGTCTGAAGACAGCTACAGTGTCCTCATATACGCAAAATAAATCTTAAAAAAAAAGCAAACCCTAATAAAAGGCCAGCGTGACAGTGCACACCTTTAATCTCAGCACTCAGAAGCAGAGACAAGTGGATCTCTGTGAGTTCTAGGCTAGCCAGTGTTGTACAACGAGACCCTGTCAACAACAACACTCTAAGTAACTGAAAGGAGTGATCCACAAGAGAGCTGATCGTGAAATCAACATGTAAGAAAAGACTAGCAACTTTACTGTGTGAGTTGTAATATGAATAGAAACGTTATTGGAAAAGATCACAGAATAACTATAACAAAGGAGAATGTGCTTAGTCACTTAGTGACTGGACATGCCAAGAATTTATATGGTTCTTTAGGCCTGTGGAGGTGTGATAAAGACAGAAATACACCATGCTTGGGAGTGGGAAACTCATGCTGAAACAAATATGATTTCTTTCTCTAATAAGTTATACCTCCAAGTAATTCTAACTCAAATTCCTACTCCTGGTCTAACGGTCCCTGTGGAGGTTAGCTACCTTTCTCAAACTCCCTTTTCAGTGAGCTACTCTGGTTTATAAAGCCTTCAGGGGGCAACTAAGATTGACTAGAAGTTGTGTGGTAAGGAGGGAGGAAGGCAGAGAGGGAGGGAGGGAGAGAGGAATGAAGGGAGAGGGGAAGGAGAGAGGGAAGTAAGGAGGAAGGAAGCTGTGAATACCTTCTGAGGGTAAATCTGGCAGTTTCCAGAATTAAAGCAATCCTCTCTTATGTTCGAGCTACCAGACGAGCGTTTCTCAGAAGAATCCTGGGGAAGCTCATGGTAGGCTCATTGAGACCAGGGCAGGGATGTTTGCTGCAGCAGACTCCGAGATGCGAGCTCTCAGAATAATACGTGTGTAATAGCTCTTTAGCCATTGGCTGAGAGCAAGCACAGACTAACACGTGTACCATGCTATGTAGGTCACCCTTTTTAACAGTCAGTTCATGTTGTTTTCATATACTTCTTTTTCCATTTCATCTCAGAATCAAATCTGGCTTCCAATTCATGCCTTATTAGGGGGATATAGCTCAATACATAAGAACACAAAATAGACTGTGCATTTAATACCGACCTCCACACCACGCAGCTGGCCTCAACTTTTAGCCCCTCGGTTTCTTTGTTTGTAAAATAAGAATCATTATATTTTCATGTCAGAGTTTTGTTGAAGGGTAAATGAATTTTAACAGTTCTTGCTATATTGTAAGTGATTAAGTCATAGACACATGAACATTAACAGACTCACAAAATGTCAAGCTTGGAAAAAGTGCTCTAAATTCCTCCTGTGTTTATCTTGGGAGAGGGAAGAGAACAGGGCTCAATATGGTGATTAAAGCAATCATTAATTTATTTTTAATTTTTAAATTTCTTTCATTAGAAGAGGTGAAGAAGATATTTGATAGACACGCACAACTGTCAAGTATGAGTATTTATGTTATTTTTGTATTTTTTGTTTTTAAACACTAAGCAAAACACTACATAAATGCTATATTGATATATCTGTATATATTTGCATATACAATAAACATGGATTTTTCTTAAGTTGTACCTTTTAGTTTTTAAAAGCATACTTTTCTTAGATTTAAAAAAATTATAATTATAAAATTGTGTATGTGAGTGTGTGTATATGCGTGCACGTTCACATGTGAGTGCAGTGCCTGCGGAGGCCAGAAGAGGGCGCTGGGTCCCTTAGTGCTCATAGGCAGTTGTGAGCCACCTGATGTAGGTGCTGGGGCCCAAACTCTGGTTCTGCAAGAACAGCATGCACTCTTGGCTGCTGAGCCATCTTTTCAGGCTCCACTCATTTCTTTAAACTTATATATTTCTTCATACATTAAATGAATCGACAGACTTCCACTGATGAGGAAACAAGACTTGGAACAAACAGAACAGAAAGTTAAGAAGTAGCTTTTTATATGTGGTAGAAACTTCTGTTAGCCTTTATGCATAATTATTTGTAAAATGAAAAACTTTCAAATATTAAAGAGAAAACCCACATGACACCTATTTCGCTTAGTAATTTTCAGTTTTAGGAAGGTGATGTACCAAGTCGAAGCTGCCTTTAGATCTGGTAGCCACCGAATGTGCAACTGGGTTCCCAAAACCTGTGCCAGAGAAGGCTAAGTTGAGGTAGGTCTCAGCTTGTGTCCCTGAGCCACAAGCTCCACTATAGGAGACAGAATGCAAAGAAGAGTGTCAGCTAATGGGTGTTCAGTGTTCTTTTTTAAAGTACATATGTCTTTTCAACTTCCATTCAACAAATCCCAATCACTGATATATCGCTCCCTCTTCATTTAACATTTTTTGGAAATTTTATTTAAGTGTGTGAGGTGTCTTGCCTGCATATATATGCCTATGCACTGCATGTATGCAGTTCTCACAGAGACCAGAAGAGGGCGTCAGGTCATCTGGGACTGGAGTTACAGATGGTTTTGAGCAGCCATGTGAGTGCTAAAGCTATGTCCTTTGAATGATCAGCCACTGAGCCATCTCTCCAGCCCCCTCTTTGCATTTTAAAACTATGGACTTGGCCTAGTACAGGACACTCCAAGGTGATTCTTCCGTGGCTATTGAACTTGTATGTAACTAAAACAACTTCTGCCTCAGTAAGAGGAGGCATGAAGGTCACAGATGACGATAGTTTTCAAGCATCCAGGCTGCCTTTCCCAGCAGTGTCATGGTGTATCCTAACCCTTGAATTTAGAGCGGGGTTAGGAGGAAGGCATATAAGGGTGGCTTGTGGGTTTGCCCTGTGTTCCTGAGCTGTGACATCCCCTGCAGGCCGAGGTCTCCCAGCAGGACAAGCTGAGGTGGAAATGATAGAGCGGGCCCGGGAGAAGCGAGCCTGGGAGGCCACTCTGCCCCCACTGAATGACAGCTTCCAGACCGAGAAGAGGAGGAAGATGATGAATGCCATGGAGAGGAAGGAGTGGGCCTTCAGAGAAGGAGAGATTGAAAAGTAGGTTCTTGGGCTCCTGGACAGCTGTTCATGGGTTGGTGAGAGCAACATTCATACCTTATTCTTTAATTTATTTATTCATTTTGGTTTTTCAAGATGGTGTTTCTCTGTGTAGTCCTGGCTGTCCTGGAACCCACTCTCTAGACCAAGCTGACCTCAAACAGAGAGATCTACCTGTCTCTGCCTTCCAAGTGTGGAGATTAAAGGTGTGTGCCACCACTGCCACCTGGCCACTTTATTAGTTTTTTGTTTGTTTGTTGAATCTGGAAGCATTTCCTCCAAATATGTGTGTTTAAAAACAATCCTCAACTTCTATGAAGTTAAACATGAAACCAAAGCACCCTGCTCCAGGGTTTGTCCTGACTGTCACAGAGTCCCAGCGATTTCTGCAAAGCATCTTAGAGATCCCCGTTGGGTCATTCCCATAACCGCCATGCCTAGGCAAGAGCTCTCTATGCCTCACACAACGTCCTCGTAGACAGCCCTCTCATTCCTATCCTCCAAGACTCGTAGGCCACCCGAGTTCTAGCCGGAGCTCTAGCCGGAGCTGATGAAGCACTTCCTACTGGAAAGGCAAACTGTGGAGGCTTTGTCTGTGACGAGATGAGCGTGTACAGCAACAAGCATAAAGGTCTTGGAACTTCTCCAGTTTTCCATTTTACCTGTTGATGGTGGTGATGATGATGATAGTGGTGGTGGTGACGATGATGATATGATTGTTATTATAATGTACCACATAAGGCCATTTCCAGCAAGTGTCTAATGCTCTTTGAGCACATGCTCCTGAGGCGTTTCTGGTAGTGAGGCTGTTGTTGATGTCTAGAAATGATGAGACATTATTAGAACCAAAGAGTCCTTAGCAAGCATGCTGGGAAGGTGCGTGCTGAGGCTGGCCTCTGTTCTAGTTTGTTCTGGAGCCCGTGCTGCTGCGCAATGCTATCGGAGCCCCCTGTGCACCAGAGAAGAACCAAGAGCGGACTCAGTCTACTGTTGAATTTAAATTTTTTTTCCCAATTCCTTTTTGACCAAGCCTGAATCATACTACATGCAGTTTTTGGTAAAAGCTAGCAATTCAGTGGAAAACGGTGTGTGGCAAGGAGGCTCAGTGTCCTCTTGGTCCGTAGACATTTAAGCTGATTGCCATTCTTTGGAGAGGAATGTGTTTAGTAAAAATGCATTAAAGTGCTTAGAATGTTTCTGGGCAGAGTGATCACTTCAGAAGGCGATTTAAACCTGAGGGCAATTTTAATAAACACACTGTGTGTAGGCTCTGTGCTATGAGATAGGAAAGCCCTGGTGAATGCCAGGCTTCTGAGCCTCACGGGAGCTGCTCGTGGCCTGTTGGGACTGAGATAAAGAGGGAGGGGTCAGAGGATGAGGTAAGAGCCTGCCCCTCTCCACCAGGCAATAGCAAGCTAGCTCTAGAGAGAAAAGCTGTTCTGTTTGAGATGGGAGACTTGGGAAGAGAAGGCATCTGAGAATGCTGCAGGGAGAGCCAGAAGCCACTAGTGTCATCGGCGATGAGGAGGAAAGATACAGAGCACAGCACTCAGAGCACCTTCTCTGCGCACGCCATGCTCTGAGAACTCTCTAGAAACCCGTATTCTTGAGCTTACCCACAACCTACAGAACCAGGAGGTTAGGATCGGCAGTCTGCCAGAGCAAACCTTCCAGACAGTTCTGTTGTACACTTAAGTTTGAGTGCGTGAACTCATTCAGTGCCCACAACCACCTTGTGAGAGAGGTACGATTATCTCCATTTTGCCGTGGAAGAAACTGAAGTAAAAGCAAACTGGAGAAGTAACCCTGGCTCAGTCTCGTTCAGTCACTGCCTGTAACAGCGGGGTGTGTCCTGGGAAATGCGTTGCTGTGTGGGCACACCGCTGAGTGACCCTGGACAGTTACAGGTCACTCCGTGTGGCCCTTCGATGCGCCACATTGAAGATGTGGTAAATACAGGTGTGCTAGGCTGCCACCAGCACAACACGGCAGTGGATTCTTATGACAAACTTTAAAATAACACAATAAATAATAAGAAAAGCCTGGATGGGAGGCTTAGACCTGTAGGGTCAGCACTCAGCAGGCTAAGGCAGAAGGATCAGGAGTTCAAGGCCACCCATTGACAGCATATTGAGTTTGAGGTCATCCTGGGCTACGTGAGGCCCCGTTTATTAATTAATTATTAATTAACAATAAACAAGCAGCATAAATCTGTCAGCCTAATAGTGGACTGTCACCACTATCAAGTATTCTACATTATTTTATTTGCTATGTTTTCACATGGCTGGTTGCCCAGTATGTCTGTTTACAACAGAATCACCATAAGCGAGAATGATGCACTGAGCTATGGCATTTCAAGGGCTGCATTATCACCAAGTAATATGAATTTGTTCAGCCTCCTTATAATGTTAAGGGACCATCATGGTAGATAAGGCCCGTTGTTGGCCCCGATTCACTGTGTAGCGTGTAACTATATCCTTCACTTAAGTAGGGGGCTGCTGTTGTGTGGCTTAATTTTTTTTAAAGATTTATTTTATATATATGAGTACACTGTAGCTGTCTTCAGACACACCAGAAGAGGGCATCAGATCCATTAGAGATGGTTGTGAGACACCATGTGGTTGCTGGGAATTGAACTCAGGACCTCCAGAAGAGCAGTCAGTGCTCTTAACCACTGAGCCATCTCTCCAGCCCGTGTGTCTTAATTTTAAGAGCATCTGGTGCCCCAGAAGCATTTATCACCTGGTCCCCACTCTCCTCCACTGTTTGCACTTAGAGCAGGCCTGAGTCACACCTGTCCTGTCTCTGGCCCCCCCTACTCTTGGTCCCAACTTCCCCTTGGTCTTTTCTGGGACGGAGTTTCCCTATGTAGTCCAGACTAGCTTTGAACTTGTGCTTTTGCGCATACCACACCAGCCTTCCCAAGGCCTTTTGAGCCATTTCGTCTCCCTGGCTGAGGCTGGACCTCCCCTTCTCCATGGAACAAGCCCCACTCTTGTCTTCCTCCTCCTCATCCCTCTGAGCTCCTGTCTTCCTCCTGGCCTGGAACTCATCTTATGTTGTAGGATTGGCTTGTGAGCCTGAAAGTTAATGAATGAATTTCTAAGCGGGAGCGGGACGCCTTCAGAGTTCTGTTGTGACAAGGAAAAGCTTGAAGCTTTTGGAGCTGAGACTGTGAGGAGGGAGACTCTTAGCTGGAAGCGCAGGTTGGGAGAGAGCCAGAGACTGGATACAAGAAGCTTCTGGAAGAGGAAGATTCTTAAAGGGAAGATCGGAGGCAGGGATAGACTGGAACCAGGATTTGTTGTTTGTTTTGTTTCGGAGCCTCAGAAAACAACAGGGGGCTCAAGCCACCAGATACAATGGTTCAGAAGCAGCTGGGGGCACAGCCTGGACATGGCAGCACAGGGCACTCACGAGAACAGATTTATGAAGGAAAGGGAAGGTTATTGACTGAGTTCCTACCTTGTCGGGACCAGCCCCGTTTACAAATGTTCTCTAGGTTCAGCGCCTCAGCGAGCCCATCTCTTACCCCATCTGCCTGCTCTCTGTCTGCTCTTCAGCTTCTGGACTATACGCATGCGCGCCCCTTCCCCACGCCCCCCACTATATTTTTGCCACAGTGGTCTTTTTAAAGCACGTGAATACGATGCTCACAGGAAGGGCCTGCGCTGGCTCTCAACCAGAACTCCTGATCTGAGAGAGTAATACTCTGTACTCTATCTTCAAGACTGCAGGAACTGCGCCTGGAGGTTTTGAAACAATTGCTGAAGAGGCGTGAGGAGAACCAGAATGAGCTGGACATGAGGCACCTGAACGAGCAGTGGTGTAAACTGCAGGAAAGGAAGGAGGCCAAAGTCGCGCAGATCCATCACAAACATGTATCAAGTAATATGTGGTGTGAACGGGCCAGGGAGGGGACCAGGCTTTGGGGCTTTGACCAAGCCTGACTAAACTCGAATCAAATTCTTTGGTCCTGATGTATTGAATAGGAAAGGGAGAGGAGTTCTGTCTGAAAGGTAGACATTGGAGGAAAATTGCTGAGAAAGTCAATGACCATGTTCAAACAGTTAGTTAAGTTACTACTATATGTGTTGGTAGTAGGTCCCTTACATTCATAACCCAAGTCTGTTTAAAAAGCTCGTTAATTAACTTTGTTTTTAGTTCTTGTCCCCGGAGATGACATTTTAGTCATTTTTGTTAATTGCTTCTTTCCAAGAAAATTTTAATGCCACAGATGTATTTATGTTTATATAGCCTATAATGATATATTCTCATTTTATTCAAAGAAAACGAGAAATATACACTTTATTCAGGGAAGGATTAAGAATACATTTTTTTTTTTTACATTAGAGATTGAGGAGATGGCCCAATGACTAAGCACACAGGTTGTCCAAGCCCAAAGATCTGAGTTCAGATCCCAGCACCACCCAGGTGTGACCATGTGTGCCTGTCACCCCAGTACAATGTAGGAAGGAGAGGAGGATTACTGGGCTGGATTACTGAAAGAATTTGTTTAAGGGCTTAAAGCAAAGAGCTATGGAACAGGACACACAGTGTCCGTCTCTGGCCTCTGTATGTGTTAGCACAGGGGCACACCCTCCCACATATGTGTGCATTCACCACATGAACACACACACACACTAAATTAAAAATCCAGGTTAAAATTTTTATGAAAAACTTAAGTTATTAGTAATCATTTCATTTAATTTTGTACTTTTTCTTATTTAATTTTATAGTTTTTCTTATTGAAAAACGTTTTAAAAATTACCTATAAAGATTGTATTATTGGGGCCATTGTGATTGTTCACTGGGTAAATGCATTCCTGGTACCCACTCAGTGCAAAGAGAAAACCAACTCCTTAAAGTTGTCCTCAACCTTCACACATGTGCCATGGCACTTGGAAACCCCCATTTCATGAATGCACACGCAGTATGTACGCACACATTCACACTCAGTTAAAATAGAATGTAATTGATTTTTAAACATTGTATGGCCTTTTACAAGTGCTGAGCCTGGTAAGTTGCCACATCCCAGTGTAAGGCCACATACCTAAGAATATATGAACAACCCACATGGGGCATTATGGGTAAAAAAACAAACAATCAAAAGGAGGACACTCAGCTGGGTAGGTAGAAAAATGGAGGGTTGAGGAGGGGTGAATATAAGCAAACTAGATAGATTCTCAAAGATCTAATTTTAAAAAAAAATTAAAATCAGGACTGAAAATTTTCCAGTTGCCTCAAATTCATGAAAAAAAGTAAGAATTGTATTACCAGTGTGCTCGAATTCATGGTTGATATGTACTCTTAACAACTCAATCACATTTTTAAAAACCATTAAAAAGTTTTTTTTTTCAGAAAAAGTAAAATCAATTCAAAAATTAAAGTCTTAAAAATTAAAATTTTTTGTTGTGAACTCAACCTTTAATTTTTTTTTAAATCTAACTAGCTTGCTGTTGACTATGTATTTAGATGTCACTGACATTTTTTTCTTTTCGGTATACAACATAGCTAGTGGTGGGTTTGACTAGTTTTCTAGATAAATGGCCAAATGTGAACTATTTTACTAAATTCCAACACTCAAAGTGACAGGTGCAAGGGTCCTCCTGCAGTGCGACTCCTCACTCTTGTAATACGTACCTGTGATGAGATTTCACACCTGCGTGTGTATGTGTGAGTGTGTGTGTGTGTGTGTGTGTGAACGCGTGCGCACATTGCTCGCACAAGTCTGCGGGTGCATGTGACTCCACGTTGAGGACATTCGCTGACTTAGCTTCTGCCACCCTTGCCTGTATTGGAGCTACCCGGATGGAAGAGCTGTTTCTAGTGCTGCTGGCCTCTAGCAGTGGTGGGCCCTCCTAATATTCACTCAGCTCAGTATCTTCCTGCTGAGTCAAAACATTCTGCATTTGAAATTCAGAGCAGTATGGGGAGAGAACCACGGCAGAGCCTTTTATTTCAGACATCAGAAAACTCGTGGGAAAAGGGAAGAACATAGAGGGGAAGCTGCAGCGGAGAGACATCATCAAGGAGTACTCCAACTTTGGATCTCAGGTCTACGGACCTTTGTCTCGCCTTGGCCGTTTCCCAGACAACAACTCAGAGGACTTTGTTGTCAGAAACCACTATCTCAACACCTATGAAGGTAAAATAGATAGATAGATAGATAGATAGATAGATAGATGATAGATAGATAGATAGATAGATAGATACATAGATAGATAGATACATAGATAGATAGATAGATAGATAGATAGATAGATAGATAGATAGATGGATCCATGCTGCTAGAGGTTTAGTAGAAGACATCTGTATTCGGTACATTGACAGCAAGCAATAGAATATTTGAAAAAGCATCAATGAACACGTTTCGTACCTTGTCAGTACAGGATGGGTTCATACAAAGTAATAAAAGCTCAGACTCAGAGAATAGAAACACCCGTAGAATAATTTAACAGAGAGTAAATTCAGTTAGCTACTAAATATGTGTGCAAACATGATAGCTAGGCGTAGTGGCAAATGTCTATAGTTACAAGTCCTCAGAGCTGGAGGCAGGCAAATTGCCAGAGTCGAAGTTTGGAGCTAGCCTGAGCAACTTAGCAAGACTCCTACCTAAAAACAAAATCCAGCAATCAAGTTGTAAAGTAAATTTTTATTTAAAAACAAAAATGGAAACTGAAACCTTTACACCAGGTTTATGAAATAAGACATTTTTAATGAAGTCACGGACATTTAAAACCTAGAAGGCAGAGTCACCAGGTGACCAGTTCACAGAGAGACCTGTGCCGCTTATGAGGCCCAAGAGACTAGTTTATGTTTTTTGAAAGTTCAGCTCACAAGCTGAAGCGTCATCTGGCCAAGATCACGAGTTAGTGGTTAGACTCTTGAACCTAGAGCCTAGACTGACATCTCCAGAACAAAATATCACCAACTGGTGAACACTCACTTCAAAATGGAGGCACCACCTGCCACAAGGCTGTAGACGTGTTGCTGGCTACTGGCTATGCTTCCTGTAGGGCACATCGTTATTTTAGAATAATTTCTCGATGTGTCACCCAGGTCACTGAGAACAGACGCAACCCCTCACGATTTACACTTTAGAAATGTTCACCCTCTTAAGATGTCACCTCCCAACAGCTCACAGGCCTAACAGTGCACTCTCCACACGTTAAATGTAAGCACTGGACATTAAAAACACGCTCTTCCTCCCACAGGATTAGTGGAACTTGAGTCGTGCCTCCCTGATTTTGTGACACAGCCAAGGATCAAAGCTCCAAAGCCCCAAATCATTACCACCAAGGCCGGCTTTCTGAAGAGGACAGCCAAGACTGACTATGAGTTGGCAGAGGTTCACAAGGTATAGTCAGGCTCTGAAGACTAGATGCCTCCATTCTGACTTCTACCGAGAGATGCTACACCCTGAACCACGAGTCATCAAAGGCAGCAGTGATTATGTACCTGAAACACAACCTACATTCTTTCTCCTTTCTAGGCTTTCTCTCTTGGAGGTCCCCCATGCTGTCCAGAACTAATGTGTAGTCTGCTTCCCTTCCAAACTACTAGCAGACCTTCCTAGAGGTCACCTCTCCCTACACAGAAGTTACTACTTTCTGAAAGTGCTCCCTCCTTTGGCTCTGTATAGTGTAAAACTTGAAACTATGGCGTTCAGCAAATTCTACTATTGGGAATTACTTGGTGTGACGAGTTGTAACAGGCTCCTTCTTCCTTTTATGTTTGCTGTTAGGGCACTAAGAGGAAGAGGTGATGTGACTGGGTCCCTTTTCATCTAGTTTAAAAGCTAAGCAAGAAAGTTGGATGGTCATCAAATGTCGGCATCAGAATCCCAGGGCAGGCTTGTTAAAATGTGCAACTAGGCTCCACCCCTAGAGTGTCTGTTCAATAGGTCTGAAGCCTCGGCGCTGTAGGGCAGTTTTCACAAGTCTCCAGGTGATACTGTTGCTGTGGGTCCAGGAACCCCACTTTGGAACCCCTGGTTTATGACATCCTCCTGTCCACAGATATATGCTTGCCCCAGTGGTATCTGTAACACATAAGAACTTATGGGAACCCCAACTCCATATGAAAATTATAGGCCCTCAAGGCCTGGGGTGATGGCTCAGTCTGTAACGCACTTGCTGGGCAAGCATGAGGACCTAAGTTCAACCCCCAGCACCCAGGTAAGAAAGCTGGGTGTGGCAGCACATATATCCCAGCACTGGAGAGGCAGACGTAGCATCCCTGGGCTCACTGGCCAATCAGCCTGGTGTAATTATCAAGCCCCAGGTCTCAGTGAGACGTCATGAAAAAACCGAGGCGGCTACGTCCAGAGGAACCATATCTAAGTTTGACCTCTGGTTTACACACACACCCATACACACCTAAGCATGCACACAAGCCTACATGTAAGAACACGTAAACATGTGAACCCAGACTCATGCACTTTGAAAAACCTTAGGACCTCGATAACGACCACGTATACCTTTTGTCCCCTACTCCATCTCCACCTGCGTTCGCCTCTCCTTGAATGCTGTGCTCAGCGGTCTCATTTTCTGTCAGATTCTTTTCCTGTACTTTGTATTGTATTACAGAAACTTACTTGCGCTCCTGATTTGCTAAAGCTTTGGATCATGTGTTCGTGTTCCCCTCTCCAGTGCTCAGCTGTGTTCATCAGAGCAAATGTCTTGTGAATACCACCCTACCCTGAATCATCGTAGGACCCTGCATTGGTCAAGATGCAGCGTTCATTTTAAGTCACTGTCAGGTCTGGTTTACTAAGGTCTCACTTCTCTGCTCACGGGTGAGATGGTAGAGCTCACTGCTCTCTGATTTTTCCTTCTAACTGTCCCACGTGTGGGATTGGTACCAGACTTGGGCAGTCCCCTGAAATGATCTTGAAGCATCCTTTCTTCCTTCTCCTCGGAGAAGAATTTGAACAAGACTGAGATGAACTGTCCCTTCAGTGTGGAAAGACGTACAAAGCTGTCATCATCACAGGAAACAGTATAACCTGTGCCTCAATTTCTTTACAGCATAGAGAGCTACTTTGCATTCATTTTGGTAAATTATATTGTTTAGATTCTCATTTTATCTGTTCAGTTTTTTGACATGATCACTGATTGTATTTTTTATTTTGTTTTATATATAATCATGTCCTTTTTTCCCCCATTCATAATGTAATTTTGACTCTTTTTCCTTAATCTCTCTTACTGGAGGGTTGCTCATTTTCTTGGAACTGTTCTTCCAAACAATGAATTCTCAGGTTTAGACATATATATCTCCTCACTACTTTTTTCTCTTGTATTTATTATATATCTTTCTCTTTGAATTGTTCTGTGATTATTTTTCTAAGCTTAGAAAATTGAATGTGTAGATTATCAATTTCAAATATTCATCAACTTTATATAAGTATTTTAAACTAAGCATTTCCTTCAAAACACTGATTTTTGCTGTCTTACTTGTTTTGATATGTGATATTCACCATTCTTAATTCTGATATCTAAAAGTATCCAACGTGGCTTTGAACCTGTATTTAATGCCTTATAACATTTCCAAATACATAGGAATTTTAAGTCAGTTTCTGGTTAGCTTCTAGCTTAAGGGCACTGTGGTTAGAGATTAGAGTTACTCTGATACCAGCCCTTTGGGGCTGGAGATGAGACTCGGGAACATCAGACGCAGCATGTTCAAGGCGCTGCTTTAACTCCTCAGCAATACTGAGAGGTTGATGCCGAGAGCAAGGAGAGAGGCAGGAAGAGGAAGAAGAGAGACCAGGATGTGGTTACACTTATAAGTTAATAAAAGCCTACCTTCAGATTGCATAGATGTTATCTATGCCTCTCTGATGTGGGGACAGATTGTTTCCAAGTCCCCATTCATCCCTGGGATATTATTGGCATTTAGCTCCCAAATATATGTGCTATAAACATGCAATACACTTTTACTCTCTTCCCTCCCCCACCCCATTTGTTTTGATTTCTTTGAGATGGATCACACATGGCCCCTGTAGACCTTGAGTAACTGTGTGGCTGAAGAAGACCCTGAACTCCTTATCCTCCTGCCTCCACTTCCTGCGTTCAGGGATTACAGGTGTGTGCCAGCACGCTTGGCACATTTTTATTTTCATTGCTTTAAAAATTTATTTTAATCAATGAACAAGAAAATGGAAATAACACAACAATAACAAAATTACAACACCCCCCCAAAATTAAAAAACAACAACAACAACATAAAACAGAGGCGAAGAAGATGGCTCAGCAGATAAAGGCACTTGCCGATGAATCCCAGCAACCTGAGTTCAATCCTCAGAAAGGCTGAGGGAGAAAAGCATTTCCACAAAGTAGTCCTCTGACCTCCACAAGTGTCCCATGGCAAAGGCACATGCACGTGCACGCATGCGCGTGCACAAACACACACACACCAACAATGAATATTTTAAAAATTAAGAAAACCAAAAGATTTTATTTTACCTTTTTTTGTTCTGTCTCTGCTGTTCTCCGTCTTTACAGACGTGTGAGTCTCTGACCCTATCGTTTTTTCTTTTGCCTTAAGAATTTGATTCTTGTCAGCATGGTCTGCAGGCAGTGAGCTCCAGGCTTTGGGTCCAGTCTTCCACCTTTGCTTTCACTTGGGGCAGGGAGGTAAAAGTTCATATACAATAAATCCACCCTTTAAAGCATACAGTCCAATGGCTGTTAGCATGCTCACAGGCTTGTGTCTGTGCTCACTGTCTAATTCTATCACCCCAAACCCCATACCTATACCTCTTAAGCCCCCCCCCCATCCCCTGCCGATCTCCGCTCTACTTTCTCTTTATGGATTTCTTTGTTCTGAACAAACAGTGCTGCACAAATGGAACCGTACAGCACACAGCATCTCGTGACTAGCTTCACCCATCCAGCACAGTGTTCCTGAGGCCCAGTCATACTCTAGCACCACTCCAGGTCTTCGTTCTTTTTGTGACTGCATAACAGTCCATTGAGCGGAGAGACCACATTCTACTTAGTCCCTCCTAAGCTCGTGAGCGCTTCTGTCATCTCCGTTAGTGCTCTGGCCTTCTGTGCTCTAGTCTTGGAGAGGCGTGGTTGTTCTGGATGTGTCTGTAGGAGTGGAATGATAGCCCACACAGCAACTGTTTTACGTTATGACGAACTGCCTGGTTGTTGCCAAAGTGACTACACTGTTTCTGTCTCGGTGGCAGTGTGTGTGGGTTCCAGTTTCTGCTGTCCCTTTGTCTCCTATGATCTCCTCTAGCCATTTCAGCATGAGTGAGGTGGCGTCCCCATGTGGTTTTGATTTGCATTTCCCCGATGCTTGATGACATTAAGGATCTTTTAAAGTACTTGTTGGTCGTTTATATATTTTTAAAGACATGTCTATTTAAATATTTTGTCCATTTTAAAAACCAGTTGTCCTTTTGTTAATTTAAAAAATATTCTAGAGATTAGACCTTTATCACTTCCAGATTATCCCTCATTCTGTGGGTTGTCCTTTAACTTTCTGGACACTGTTCTTCAAAGCACAAAGGTAATTCATTTTAGTCTTTTCCTTAAAAATATGTATCTTTGTGTGTGTGTGTGTTCATGCACGTGTGTACACACACACACACACACACACACACACACACACACGTGCGCACACACGAGTGCAGATGCCCATGGAGTCCAGAAGAGGTCACTAGATTCCATGGAGTTGGAGTCACAGGTGGTGCTGGGATCCAAACTCTGGTCCTCTTGCAGGAACAGCACATAGTCTTAACCCTCAGCTGCATCTCCAGCCTGAATCTTGTCACCCTATACAGAACTCCACCCTGGGCGCTTTTCTCTCCCAACACTTCAACATGTTATTGTTGTAATTTCTGACTGGAAATCTGTTGTCCTCATTGCTTCTGTGTAGGAAAGGTGATGTTCCTCATGCCCTCTAGTATCTTTCAAAATATTCTGTTTGGGGCTTTCTTTAATTTAAGGAGTATATATCTGCAGTTTTGCCTTTACTTGAGGTGCTTGCCTTGTTCATTGTACTACACGCTTCCTAGATATGTAATGGTGTTTTTAGAATGATTTTGGAAAGTTTCAGTCATTACTGCCTGAAGTATTTCTTCTGTTCTCCCCTCCTTTCTCTTCTTTCTCTCTCCTCCCCTCCCCTCCCCCCTCCCCTCCTACCTCCTCTGCCCTCTCCTCTCTCTTCCCCTCTCCTCCCCCTCCTCTTTCTTCCTCCCTATCCCCCCCTTTTATTTATTTATTTTTTTCCCCAGACAGAGTCCCAGTGTAGCCAAGGCTGGCCTCAAACTCACTGTGTAGCTGAGGATGAGTTTGAACTTATGATCTTCCTGTCTCTGCCTCCTGTGAACTGGGATCATGGACATGAGCCACCATGCTGGTTTTATGAGGTGCTGGAGTTGAAGCCAGAGCTTCACGCAAGCCTCCTGTCAAGGAGTGCCCAGCTCTCCGACTCCTCTCCTATGATCTGGTATTCTGTCTCTTCGTGTGTTATGGCTTTTGCTGTTCTTTACAATTCCCAGGGGTTCTATTCTGTTTCTGGTTGCTTTCTCATTACAGTTCATCCTGGGAAGCTTTTATTGACCATTTTCAAATTACTTGATTCCTGCCTTGGCTATGTTGCATCAGTTCTGAGCCTGTTGAAGGCATTTTCTGCTTCTGTACAGCACTTTGATTTCTAACTATGCACTGTGGTTCTGTTTGAACGTTTTCATTTCTCTTTGCATTGATTCTCATACATTGTCTACTTTCCCCATCAGTTCCTTTATCATAGTAATCAGAGATATTTTTAAACCTTTGATGATTCCAAGATGTGCCTGCTTAGGACTTGTTGGTTTGACCATTTAGATAGTTGTGGGTTTTTTTTCTTGCCTTTTTTAGTATACTTTTTAGCATGTAGCCTAAAATTGACAGTCTAAAGTTTGGCAACAGATAATAGGTGAATTAAATTGGCTATGTGGTAGTATCCTATTCGTCTTGCTGGGAGCTGTAGCACATCTGATGTCTGAAGTATCTGTAGGTATTGATGGTGTTGCTTTATTTTGGTGTCCTTGTTTCTGTTTCTCCTCTTGGGTTTGGAGTGAGATGCATTTACATGGACTCTCCTGGTTTGGAGTACTGGGTTGAAGAGACTCATCCGTACCTGGTTGTCAGGAAAGCATCTCTGCAAGCAAGGATATACTATTTTGAGAATCCAGAACTGTCCAAGGGGAGGGTGATGAACTCTCTTCCTAAGTTGCTTCATGTGCTATGGCACAGAAACCACGGAGGAGAAATATCCAGAATGGCCTGAAGCAATTACCACAGTATAATATTTTCAGGTTGTTCTTGGTAAGAAATTTCACTGGAAAAACCACATTTTTGATGGACAGGTGAGTTGTCTCAGCAAGTAAAGCAACTTACTACCTGAACTGACCTATTTGAGTTCAATCTCCTAGACCCATATGGTGGAAAGAGAGAGCCAACTTCTAAGAGTTGTCATTTATTTCTGTGTGTGCGTGCGCACATGTGTGCACTCGTGTACACACACACACACAGACAAAGTAACATTAATCTAACGATTTTTTAAACAGTGTCTATATAGTGAGGCAAAGTATCACTGTGTAACTTAGACTAGCTTGGGTTTCATGACCCTCCTGCTTTGGCCTCCCAAGTACTGAGATTACAGGAGTGAGCAAGCTACTATGTCCATTTTCATTGGATTTTCAAAAAATGAAGTATGTGTGTGTGTGTGTGTGTGTGTGTGTGTGTGTGTGCATGTGCACATGTGTGAACCAGAGGTAGATATTGGGTGTCTTCCTCAATTGCTTACCTACCACCTTATTATGTTTTGAGAGAGCATCCTTCACTGAACCTGTAGATTGCTGATTCACGTGGCTGGCCAGCAAGCCCCAGGGATCCTCTTCCTCCCCAGGGTTAGGATTCCTGGTGTGCACTGCTTCCTATAGCTTCTTAAGTAGATTCTTTGACATCTGACTCAGGTCCTCAGGCTTGTTTGGGCAGCGCCTCACTGACCGAGCCCCTTCCCCAGCCCCTATAAGGCATCTCTTAAAAACATTTTCTTTTTGGTGCTGGGGATTGAACTCAGTCCGCCAAGCATGCCCGACCAACATCTATCACTGAGCTGCAGCCCTAGCCCTAACCTTCCTCACATAAGTCATAAATACATAAAATAAACTGTTCTTGCTTTTTATTAATTTAATGTCTTGCATGCCTATCTATATCAATACTAGCAGAACAGCTATCTTACTGTTCTTTACACTTTAATGATGGATTGTTGTATGCCGCCACCTTGGTAGATATTTAGGTTGCTTATGAATTACTAGCACTGAACTCAGTGTTTCAGTGACTCTTGTCTGTACCCTTTGGTATATGGGCGAACACACATGATGTTCTCAGACACCGAATTGCTGGACCACAACGTCACAACATGTGCACGTCTATCATTCTGATGGTTATTGTCAAATTTTCTTACATAAATGATAGATCTGTTTCGGTGTACATACACACTCCTGATTTTCCATGGTTTCTCGTGGTGTGGCCCAGGGCTCTGCTCTCTGAGCTCCCCAGCTGATGGTATATTAATACCCGCCCACTGCTGTGTCTTTACTGCTCCCCCAGCCCTGGCTGCCCAGAGTTGGCAGCAATCCCTGCTGGTTTTGTTTTGGATGAACTCAGAGGTTCTGTCACCACCACAGTTAGGAGGTGCTAAATGTCAGTTATACCTTGTACACTGTTAACAGCTTCAAGTGTCAGTACTGTGCTTTTCTTTAAATGTCACTTGCCTATGTTCTTATGAAAAAAGAATGTAATGTAAAAATCCTTTTATGACAAAAGTTAACCGAGGTATAGGCTTTACATCACAAGCACAAGAACCCTTGGTGCTTTTAAATGTAAACTATTTCCCTGATGTTAAGAATGAATTGCTGAAATAAGCCTTATGTATGATTTTGATGGGGCTTTTGGAGAGATAAAAGTGGGGAACCTGTGAAAATACAAAACTGAACATATCCTGTCACCAGGCAAAGAAAAGGTCCCCCTCCACTTAGAGACAAGTGTGTCTAATGTTCTCCAGTTCCCCTGCAACGTCAGGACATACTAATCATTTATTGACTCACTGTCTACACAGGAGAAGCTCCTACTTTTGATATTCATTGAAATCAGTTAGTGATGTGTGGAAGCAGGTGCCTGAGTTTATGTGTATGTACACACAGAATGGAATCCTTCTTTTGTTTTTTTGGGACAGGGTTTCTCTGTGTAGCCCTGGCTGTCCTGGAACTCACTCTGTGGACCAGCCTGGTCTTGAACTCAGAAATCTGCCTGCCTCTGACTCCCAAGTGCTGGGATTAAAGGCATGCACCACCACTGCCCTGCCCAGGATCCTTTAAAAATTAAAAAAAAAAAAATCCTAGAGATCTTTGATGGAAATCGATACAAAACCAGGTAGGGGCTGAAGAGATGACTCAGCAGTTAAGAGAGGTTAGTGCTCTTGCAAAGGACCTGGATTTGGTTTGTTGAGGTCCAGGGTTCAGTTCCCAGCATCTATATGGTGCTTACAACCACCTGGAACTCCAGGTTCAGGTGACTCGATTTCTGCTTCTGACCTCTGAAGCACACACATAGTGCATATATGTGCACTCAGGCACGAACACACACACACACACATAGCATGACATCAGTTAATATATATTTGAAAATAGATGCTGTATTTATTTAGTGGTTAATGAATACCTAGGAGTGTGATAGCACACTATATGAGTACAAACATGCCAGCCAGAACGGGTTTGGCTGACCTTGAATATAGGCTTAGAGACTCTGATACTCAGATACACAGTCTAGACCTGGCACTGGAGGAGTCTGGGAGAACAAGAGATGACATCGGTTGGTATTTATTTCAGGCGCTGTTGGATAAGAAGAATAAAGGTCTAGAAGGAATGAAATCTCTGCGATTCCTGCAAAAAAATCCCATCTCTCAGGCTCGGCTTCCAACCCCCTCCTTGGAAATGTCTTCCTATGTAAGTCTGAGGCTTTTCTTTGAAACACTACATACAATGACTTCAGTTGGCTCATGCTTAGGGTAGTCTGGGTAGAAAACAAATACAAGCTAACAGTGTTAGTGTTTCAAACTCTGATTTAAAATCAGTTCCTTCTCTTTTAAATTTTTTTGAGTTCTATTTCTTTTGTTTTACGTGTCTGGGCATTTTGTCTGCACATGTATCTGTGCACCACACGAAGGCATTGACCACGGAGACCAAAAGAGGGTTTTGGATTCCCCTGGATCCAGAGCTACAGAGAGCTGTAAGCGATATCATAGGGGCTGGGGATGGAAATCCAGTCCGTTGGGAGAGCAGCCAGTGCTCTTAACCACTGAGCCATCTCTCTACCCCACCCCCAGTTCTCTCTTAATTTGCATGTATCAAACAACTACGGCATACAAATATAATCCAAGTGAAATCTAAACCCAGTCCTTTCAAGAATAAAAATCCGAAGAATGAAAAATAGTTATTAGAAGGTAATCCTCATGTATGTCAAAACAAAAAAAAAAAAAAAAGAAGAGGATGAGGGAAAGGAGGAGGGGAAAAAGGAGAAAGAGGGGATGGAGGAGGGGGAGAGGGAGGAAGAGAAGAGGAGGGGAAGGAAAAGGGGAGAAGGAAGGAAAGAGGGAAGAGGGGGAGAGGGAGAAGGGGAAGGAGGGAGGAGAGAGAGAGAAGGATAGTGGCATGCCCTGTAACCTCAGTACTGGGGAGGGAGGCCAGGGCAGCAGGATCACTCAGATGACAGCACTCTTCTCAGAGGAGGGATGCAGCCGGTGAGAGAGAGCCTCTGAAGGCCCTGGCTTTCTCTGGGGGTACTCTGAAGGAACACTGACTAGCTGGGTCTCCACTACTGGGCCAAGAAAGGCTCCCTCTCCAGACTCTGCTCACACGGTTACTCATTCGTTGTCCGTCACGGGTGTCAGCTCCCCCACTGCCCTGCTGCCACCTTTACAGTGAGAGGCCTTAACTAGATTTCCAGGTTTGCTGCTTTTGACGCAGCGTTTTACGCACGCAGATCACGTATTTTGAGCCGGACTCCCGTTCTCTCTGCTCCACGTCCTTCCTCATTCTCTTCTACCATGAATTCCTCCCAGTTTCACGTGCTCTTTTTTTAATTAATTACTTAATTTACTTATATCCTAAATGCTGCTCCCCTTCCTGGTTCCCCCTCCCAGAGTTCTTCACCCCATCTCCCAACCCCTTCCCCTCTGAGAGAGTGCCCCCCACCCCAGGGCATCCTCCTTCTCTGGGGCACCAAGAATTAGTCGAATCCTCCCTCTCCCACTGAGGCCAGACAAGCCAGTCAGTCCTCTGGAAGTGCCTGGGGCCTCGGACCCGCCCATGTATGCCCTTTGGTTGGTGGCTTAGTGTAAGTTTCTGCATCTGTCTCAGTCAGCTGCTGGCAGAGCCTCTCAGAGGACAGCCATGCTGGGTTCCTGCCATGCATGTCCTTTTGGGTCTGGGTTACCTCACTCAGGATGATATTTCCTAGTTCCATCCATTTGCCGGCCAAATCCATGATGCCCTTGTCTTTAATGCCCTAATTGTATTCACGTGCTCTTTTAAAACCCGCTGAGTATTGTGAGTTTTGTAAGGGCACAGGGCCATGTACTGGAGCATGGGTAACCTCTTGGGGTTGCATTCTCGAAGAAAATTGTCTTCCCTCTCCTACCATGATCAACTGCTAGTAGCCTGTCAGCTGGAGGTGAGACTTAATGAGTGTCCAGTAACACAATCACTGTGAGTTCATGTGTACAATGGTGCTGTCACATCCAGAAAATACCATTTACTATAGTTGCCCACCACCTCTGTCTCTTACCCTCTTTCTGTTCTCTCTTCCATGATAATCCCTGAACCTTTGGAGGAGCAGAGTGATGGAGTTGCCCCATTTAGGGCTGAGCACACTGTAGTCTCTGGATCTCTTTGCGATGACATAGCTATTTAAATTTTTTTAGGTGGTGACTCTTACCCATTGTATCCTGATTTTGCCAATGTAGCTAAGTCATGTGAAAAGCACCCCCCCCCACATGCTGTACCTGCTTTCTTCATTGCTCATAAGCAAGCATGAACGTCCCATTGCTAGAGGACATTATTAGCTGTAGTTTCGGATGCAGAACGATTTTGCCAGAAGTGGTTTCATGTGGAGGGCTAACCTGGCAATCCCGTCGTTCCTTCTTTCTTTCAGGCTCTCATTAATGATGCATTATTCATAAAATAAAAATGATTCATAAAATAAAAATTTCAATGATGCAGTAGGTAACATTTGAGACACGGTGTGTTCGAGGAAAGCAGAGCCCCATCTTACTCTCAAGTCTTTTGGCATCTACCTCAGCCTTATGCTTGAAATAAGTCTTCAAAAACTGCTAGCTGCCCGGGCTGCTGCTGTTCTCAGGCCGCTCCCCTCTTTGTTTCTGTAGGAAGAAGGAGAAATAGAAATGGCTGTCATCTACTTGCAGAAGTTACTCCGGGGCAGAGTCGTGCAGAACATGGTGCGTAGGTCTGCCCACTGGGCCAGCGTTTCTCCCTTGAGAGGAAACAATAGAAACTGTGTGCTTGCTGCCTAGGGGAATTCCCTCCTGTACCTTGGGCCCCGTTCTGCCGCACTATAGAATTAATTACCTTTCCCCCAGTGCCATCCTTGTCCATCTGGGCCACACAAGGTCAAGAAAAGAGGAAGCACCTGCCTGTGGCGGGCCACAGTTGTAACTCAGGCTGTGTGAACTGTTTTTCTCTCCCCGTGGGCTTGCTAACTCCCCAGACTTGCTCCTCTGTATTTTGACTGTTAGAATGTTACAAACCAAGAGGGATTCCCTAATTTTCTAATACATTTTAAAACAGTTATTGGAGTTTGCACAGAGTGAGCAATAGTTGTGTTATAAACAAAAAGTAGCTACAGCTCTGAACTCCTGCTCCCATTGTATCCTGTGTGTATCCCCTCGAGTCTGAGGGGTGTTCCCCTAACAACCAGCAGGCCTTGTACTGATCCTGACTTTACGCCTTGGTGGGATGATATCTGCTGCTTCTGCAGTCACATCTTTCTGTAAAATACACAAAATCCTCTTCCATGGTTCTTTTCCTGAGGGCTGTAGTTCTTGAGAGACTCAGATGTGACAAGTCCAGGGCAGCTGGCGAGCACCTGAGCTCAGCACTGTGCTTTCTCCTCTTCTCTCAGTAATCTGGGGGGGAATCAGGAGTACCCTTTAGACAGCTGATTGTGTGCTATGAGGCAGGAGGCCCATTCATTGGAAAAGCAAACTGGCCTTAAATACTGCCATCTCAGGTTAACAGAATTTTTTAAAGGGGTACAGTAACTGAGTGGAGGACTCTAGTTCCTTAACATGACCCTGTAGTTGCTATCTTGCCAGTGTGTCCGATGGAGAAAGCAGCTCACTGAAAGCATACATCCACACACCCATACCCATAACCACACAGACAAGAGAGGAGAGAGGGGGGAGGGTAGGAGGATGGGGAGAGAAAGGGAAGACGGAGAAAGGAGGAGGAGGGGGCCCTCATGCGCACCGGCATCGCTGCACAGAGTGCTCAAGGGAGTGGGTTCTCACTGGTGAACTGGCAAGCAGTAGGTGTGGAACTCGCTCACACATGTCTCACAGCTCACTGCGTGGCCCTCGCCATCTTGGCACAAGATTAACAGGCAGAGCTTTTTGGATTTGCTTTGGTGCAGATGTTTGAGGGAAAGGAGAAGCGGCTGGAATTGATCCTGGAGTTGCGCACCAGCCACGCCCTGCAAGAGGATGACAAGCTAGTGAAGAAAGCGGAGAAGCAAGTGACCCTGGCTCTACAGCCGCAGAGGAACCTGCACGAGGACAAGGTTCTGCCCTTCGCGCCCTTTGCATCCTTTTGCGCCCTTTCTGACTTGCTGTGCATCCGCTTGAGGGATGGTTACTGTTATTACAGCATTGGAATAACAATAGCTGAAAGGAATATAAAAATTATTCTATAGCCGGGCGCACAGCATTCTGGGCAGCCCAAAATATGAATGGGGGCGGACCCCAGCTGAGTGGAAATGATGCTCTTCGCTTTTCTTAAAGAACAAGAGGTTGAGCGGTGGTGGCGCAGGCAGAGGCAGGCCGATATACGAGTTCGACGCCAGCCTCGTCTACAAAGGGAGTTTCCAGGACAGCCAGGGCTGTTAAATAGAGAAACCCTGTCTAGAAGAGCCAAAGACAAGCATACCTTTTCCAACTCTAAAATTTTTCCCTTTCTAGTTTTCTTAAACATTTATTTAGTAACTATGCTGAACTCTCTCAATCCTGGGCTTAGCAGAAAGACTAAATGAGTAAGAAAAAAATAACATGAAAAAAAACCCACAATGTAAGATTTCTGTTAAAACATTAGCGTTATTTTGGAATTTTGGAGTGAAGATTGCTCTTGCTGAATAAACTGCCCATTAAATATGCCTCTGTCACAGTGTTTGGTGACTCTTGTCAGGCTCCCCAACTTTGACGCTAAACTGAGAAGAACAAATCCCTGCCCATCCAGCGTCCATCTGTCTGTGCTCACTCTTAAGTGCTATTGACTACACTGTAGCTATTTACTCCTGTTCTCAGTATTTGCAGAGCTTTAGTGTTAAAGTTGTAGTACTTACAGCAACATTACTTGACCCACTTTGAATAACCCACTTAGAATAACTCTCTGGCTATATGGGAATTGAGCACAAGTAACAACCAACTTGGGAATGACAGCAGCTTTACTTTTTCTGATATGACAGCAATGCCATAGGTGGTCAGTGAGCCGGGGGGGGGAGTCAATTTTATATGACATCAATGCCAATGATGTTCAGTGAGCTTGGGGGAGCAGGGGCAAAGTTGGAGGTGAAACAGTAAGAGAGCCACAGCTGTGCCACCTTAAAGGATGCAAGATGAAGATAATATGGACCTAGGGTGTCTAAATCTGGTGGTTTTAGTGTCTTGGAGATGTTCAGACAGGGAACACAAAGCCATGGGAGCAGTAGGCCCAAGGGGAGATGGGAAAAATTCTTCCTTGGCTCTTTGAGGCATGTAGAGCTAAGCCGACTATGTAGTGGATATTCATGTCAGCTAAGCAAGATAGGAAGGGTTATTGGAAATACTGTCCCCCTCCAAAGACTGTTCAACTTCAGTTCTATGGAGGAACCCAGTGCAAGGGTAGGAGGGAGAGGACCGTTCCACACACACAGGAATGCTGGTCTTCTTACCTTCCGCCATTTCTGTGGGAACTGTTCAGGAAACACAGCTCCATTTTGTGATGAGTGAATGGTAATGACTGTGGTGATAATGCCTTCTGAGCACTGCTGTGCACCCCAGCTACGTTTCCCAGAAAGGAAGGAAGCTGAACATCGAGCAGACATGCAGGGATCTTAGGTTAGCAGGTTAGGGAATAAGAGTGCTAAGATCCATGAAGACGGGGGTAGAATCTACCCTCCCTGGGCTGAGCTCACTCTGATACATGAAAGAGTAGTGACAAGCTTCACCCTTGTTAGTGTTCACTGTCAAAAAGGATACTGAACTTCAGGGCTGGAAAGGATGTGAGGGTGAGGATGGGATGAGGGAGCCGAGCTAACCACTACCCTTGACAGACAGTCTCAGCCAGCGTCATTACCCCTGCGACCTGTGAATATCCCTTCCCTCGAGACACAAACCAGAGGGGGCTCTGAGCAGAGCCACCATGGCGGGAGACTTTCCTTTTGCTCAAGAAGGGGGAAGGGAGCAGATAAGTCATCTTAAACATTCTTCTTCTTCTCCTCCTCCTCCTCCTCCTCCTCCTCCTCCTCCTCCTCCTCCTCCTCCTCCTCCTCCTCTTTCTGTGAAAGCCAGGGCATGGGTACCCATACATCAGTGGCATTGCCTGAATGCTCCATGGGTCCCTTATTTTACCTCAGTGGTACATGGGCAGTTAAGCTTTATCTTACGGTCTTTTAAAGATGGCTGTTGATACCTTTGAACTTATTAAAAGTCTAAAAAAAGTACCAACGTTTTACACTTTCATGCTATTCAAAGTTTTAAAGTCCTTCAAGCTTGTAGGAAAAGACTGGACATTTAAAAATTAAAAGTTGTTATAAGTGAATTTCTAGGAAATTTCATTTTATTAAGTTGGATACAATATTACCTTTAGTAAGAAGCTTCTGCTTTTCCTTCATGTCTGACTTTCCACATAACATTTATAGAAATTGCATTGTGTTGCTAAAAAAAAAGTTTCACTAGGTCCTCTTTGTAACTTGAGGGATGTGGTCCATCAGGGACTGGCTAGGCAATCTGCCTCCTCAAATCTAAGTTTGTATTACATTGTACAATAAGTGCCCCAGGGCGGGGCCATTGGGGCATAGTATTTCCGGTTAAGGCTGTTCTGACAATGACCTTGCTCATTTTGAGTCATCCACACTTAATGGCCACCATTCTGAGTGGAGCCTATCCTTAGAGTCTTTATTGTCTTTATTGTTTTTCAGTTGTCAGTGGTTGAAAACCACTTGGGTGACCTGGAAGGAAGAGTGCTGACGGATATGTTCGACTTCCTGTCCAAAGAGCTGGTGAGGCTTCAGGAGGAGAGGAGGATCCACGCCTTTGCCATGCTGGCTGAGCGCCAACGGCGCATGCGAGAAGCTGAAGAGAGTGGTCGGCGCCAGGTGGAGCAAAGGCGTCTGAAGCAAGAGGACCAGATATTTATGGAGGCAAGCCGGGGCAGCTGGGCGGATGTAAACTTCCGGAGGGAGCCAAATGTGAACAAAGACATCCCCCCCATACTGCGATTTCTCTGGAACTCATACAGACATTTCGTGACATAAAACGGGATTTGTGTGTTTTGGTTTCCACTCTACATTAGGAAGTGCAGAGACACTCTCGGGGAAAACACAGACACAGCCCTCCTCTCCTGCAATTTAAATGACATAGAACCTGTACTTAGTTCAGGGATTCAAGATTCCTTGAAGGGAGCAAATGAGGCCAAGAACTAGATCCTCTTAAAGGAGTCGAGGCCAGAGGGAGGAGATATGGGGTGAGGTGAAGAATGGTGACTAGCCTATGGCTTATGCAACCTGAGGCTGTGGCTCCTCTTCTCTGAGGTAGGTAGGTGGAGAGAATGTTGAGTTCAGGGACGGGAGCATAATCAAGAATATAACTCAACTGGCTTGGGGTAGCAGAAATTTCAGTGACGTCTAGAAAGGACACAAGAGAGTTAGGTTTTTGGGCCTGATTTAAGAACCATTTATGTGCAAGGACATATGTCATTTTATATATAAATATATATAACTATGCATATACATATTAACCCTATTAAACCCGCCTCATCTGTATTTTGTGACTCAGCTATCTAATGTTCCGACTTTGTAACTTGCTTCCTGAATAAATGCAGCACTTCATAAGAGCAGACACACTGTGTGTTCACACTGTGCGTTCTGCAGCATCAGCACACGCCCTGCACAGATTTGACATTCAACAAGTGTCTTGGTTGATAATGTATGGAACTACCACCAAGATGCTAACAACAGGAAGGCAAGGGGTCCAAGGCTGATATTGGGGTTGAAGGTACATGAAGAATAAGTATCACATATTTAGGTTGCCTTGATGGGCCCTCTAAGGAACAGAAATATTTAGGCATAAAAGTGGTTTTGCCTCTACGAGACTCACAGTTTGTTGAGACACATACATACATGCAAAATATGTATATACAAAGGTTAATAGTTGATGCTCATGATACTTTGTGTGTATGTGTGTGTGTGTGGGGGGGTAGAGGGGAGGAACCAGTTGGTTATGCCTGAGGTTACATAATTAGCAAACGTCTAACGCTGAGTAAGGACCATCAGGAAAGTGGAAACAGGCTGTGGTGGGAAGGACCTGGTGGCCTTCTCAGGCAGGCTGTGGTGGGAAGGACCTGGTGGCCTTCTCAGGCAGGCTGTGGTGGGAAGGACCTGATGGCCTTCTCAGGCACTAGCAGCAAGTATATGGATACTGACTTAATTCTAGTTCATACTGTACACATATGTGTCTGCATACTCCCAAAACCCTCTGAATTCTATTTCATAATATCAAGAAATCTCCAAAAAAGAAATTAAGGGCCATTGTGACAATTCAGCAAACCCGTGAGTGACCTGGGGTCCTTCTGGCCTCCTGCTCTGCAGCCTCTAATGTATGGCTCTTGTGGCAACCTAAGCCGACTACTATCACCAAAGGGTTTGTGTTCATGAAATAAAACATAAAAAGAGAGGAAAGGAAAAGGGCAAAGGAAGCTACATCTTCCCCCGTAAGAAGCTTTCCTAGAAGTTGAGTACATCACCTCAGCATACCTTCTCTTGGTCAGATCTTGGTCACGTGGACCTGACTGGATCCTTCAGGAGCTAGGAAATGTAGTCCTTGAGTACCTGTTCACCTAGCTGAAATCCAGAGATTCTGTTATTTAAGATAAAAGACAGAAAGGGTGTTGGGAAATATTCCCTAGCCTCTGCTACAAGTTAGGTACCTTGGTCAAGTCACACTGCTGACAACAACCAGGGTCCAAGCCAGGCTATCGATCTGAAACGATCATCTTTCAGCGGTGCTTTTCGTGGGGCTGCCTAGAAAGCGTAGGCAGGCAGTTGAGAAACAGACAGGACTGGTGACTTAAGAGAATATACGGACTGTGGGGTCATTAAGCCACCTTTGTGTAGCTTTTGTCTTGTTTACCAGAGAAGTTCCCAAGTACTATTGTTGTCCCCCACACACAGGTGATTAAAGTTCACCAGAGTACGGTAACCTCCTACCTGGAAGACATCATACTGAACACTGAAGAACAGACTGCAGAGGAACAAGCCAGAGAAGAGATCGAGAGGATCGCTGAGGAGATCAACGACATCGCTTATGAAATGGAGAAGCGGTATGCATCGTGAGGGGAGACGGAAAGAGATGATGTCATAGCCACTGTCATTCAGATTTGCTCTTTCCAGCACTTAGGACCCCCACCAGCAATCTGTAAGCCAAGCTTTGACATCCATTGGGTCCCTAACATAACTTTATGCTGAAGCTCAGCGTGCCCGTACCCTTCCTGTAGGAGCACTAGGGATTGGATTCCCCGTTTCCCTCCATCCTTTGGGCTTATTTCATCCCATGCATCATTACAGTGCCCAGAACATAAAAGCAAAGCGAATGTATACTTCTGACATTTTTGGACTTAATCCTAAGGTTTTAGACTTCTAAGCACTTGCAGAATTTTTAACATGCGCTTCATAGCAGGCTGGATAGGGTCAGATTCTAATTTTTGAGGAAGTCAAACAAGCTTACTAGGAATGCACTCTCTCAGATCTTGGTATTTACAAGTGGCTCATGTAGGCCACCTGGGTCTCTGTGACCATCAGCCACCCAAGCAGGGACACAGTGAGGAGTTCATTTGTTTATCTGCTCCTTTGCTTGTTCTTGTTTGCCAGCCGAACTTACCTTCAGTCAGAGGAGATTGTTGCCGAGCTGGTTTACAGTTTTCTCATCCCAGAGGTACAAAAAGACTTTGTCAAAGAAAAAGGTAAGTGCCCCCCCCACATCCCCATAGACTCTCATCACTGTCCCAGGGCTGTATCTTCAAACAAAGGTGTGGGGATTTCTGAAGAAGTCCTGGTCTGGCTTCAGAACTTGCTTGGCCCTTTTCTTGCTGCTTGGCTGAAGAGGCTCACCGCCTCCAGCAGAGACAGGATTGGCTCCAGTAAGATTGTCAGAATGCCAGTTTCAACTTCTTTAAGAGAATGTTCTCAAGCTGCCAGGGAGCTATATTCTGTGGTCCACACAGGCGCAGCCTCCTGCTGACTGGGTGCAGAAACAGTGGGTCCTGAAAAGCAGGGATACTCTGAGAGTCTAAGGACATTTTGCTGTTTCCTGGGTCACTAACAATACTTCTGCCAGGGTGGCACCTCAGTACAACCATTTCAATTTAGCCTTTGTCAAAAATGGCATTTTTTTAAAATAATGGTACTTTTAATGAATAGAAAAGGAAAGAACATGTATTAAAAAGCAAGATACGTTTGGGGCTGGAGAGATTGGCACAGTGGTTAAGAGCACATACTGCTCTTCCAGAGGACCTAAGTTCGATTTCCAGTACCCATATCAGGTGGCTTACAATTGCCTGTGACCCCAGCTCCAGTGGGATCTGACACACCTGACCTTTGACCTCTGTGGGCACTTGCATTCATGTGGGCGCTCCCCTTCCACCACCACACACTCCCACATACATGTAACTAAAATAATAAAACTAAAATTAAAAAAGAAAAAGATTCTTCTGGAATCCTCAAATTGTTGCAGCCAGATCTGATCCCAGGGAAGGATATCATCAGGACGGGACTACGGACAGTGACCCACAAGCCTTTAGCTTGTAAAAACTTCTGGAGAAATCAAAGCAGAAAAATGCAAGATTTGCTTCATTAGGGACAAAGGACTACTAGACTCTAATGCATTAGGACAAAGAACACTGATAGTTCTCCTACACATGGCAGTATAATTTACAGCAGGTACCCTCTAGCACTCAACGGTTCATCTGTTTACAGTGTCCATTTGTAAATTCTGATTTTTATTGTAGTCAGTATATTTACACACTTCCTGGCCACGACCCTGAGATTCCCAGCAACGTGAGTGTCGTCAAACAGAACGTTCGTGTCTTATGTTTTCACGGATTCGACCTAATTGCCATACGGACAATTGCTGTTCTGTCTCCATCAGCGCATTACAGTGTCCACGGCCATGGGCTAAACACTCAGATCGAGTACTGTATGCTATAGTGTGAAGGGCTGCTATGGTTTTAAGGTCTGTGAGAAAATAGCAAGCCCTTCCTATTTTTTCCAGGTCCAAAGTTAGGTCAGCCTTCTTCAGAGCCACCTTCCCTGAGGGGATTGAAAGAGATGGGATGGAAAAATGAGCTGAATATTTACCAGATTGAAATTCCCTCTCAACAGCCAGAGCAGAAGATCCAGCTTTGGTTCCCAGCACCCAGGTTGGGTGGCTCACAACCACCTGTAACTCCGTCTCTGGGGGATTTGACACTTCTGGCCTTTGAGGGCACCTGCGCTTATGAGCATGTACCTACAACACATACATATAAAAATTTGAAAGGTGAAATAATTAAGAAAAAAAAGTCTTTCTCAAATCTCCTTGAGGGCCCTAAGAGGAAAGATTTGGAGGGGGATATTGAATGTCGGGGACCCAGAGGGAAATGTCAGTGTGTGGGTGTGTGGGTCCTCGGCCTTCTCATGTAACACTGATTTCTTTATATTTTATGTTCAGTTCCTTCTATATCTGTACAGAGTGTGAACACTTGGAACTTTTGCCTCTCCCCCTCCCCTCTTTCTCTCTCTCTCTTCCCCCACCCCCAAGACAGGGGCTCTCTTGCTGTCCTGGAACTTTCAAACTCACCGAGATCTCCTGTCTGTGCCTCCTGATAGCTGGGATTAAAAGTCTGCACCACAGGGCCTGGTTCTGTTTCTCCTTTCAAGTATGAGAACTGCGTGTTTTACACACATGCTTTACCCAAGGCTAAGATATGTTGATATGTTTATGCTTTAACTTATCTTGTTTTTAATAAAGATTTATTTTCTCTGTCTTTCTATTTCTCTCTCCATTCCCCCCCCCCGGTGTGTGTGTGTGTGTGTGTGTGTGTGTGTGTGTGTCTACAGAAGCAAGAAGAGGATATCAGATCCTCTGGAGCTGAGGTTACAGGTGGTTGTGAGCTACCTACCTGACGCGGGTGCAAGGCACCAAACTTGGGTCCTGTGGTCCCTAGCCCTGTTTTCTTACTGTTCATGCCAAGCTCAAGATAGTACCTTAAGCTTTAGAAACCGCATGTTACGTTAATCTCTTATAAGCGCTATACATGTGTTCTCATTTTTCTGTAAAGAAAATTAGTGATTGGGAACAAATGACTTGCAGGGTTGAGTCCTGACCAAGGTGACCTGAAAGCCCCTGCTTTTTCAACCACATTACTGCAAAGTGGGGTGCTCTGCTGAGTAAGTTTCCCTATGCAAAGTAACCAATACCTGAAGAATAAAGAATACATAGTACTTTTTATTTTTCCTTTGGTGACATATAGTACGTAGCCCAGGCTGGCCCTGAATTAGCAATCTTCCTGCCTTAGCCTCTTAAGTGCTGGGCTTACAGGCATGTGCCACCATGCCTAGTCTATAGTACGTCTTACTGTCCTTAACTAGCTGGCTGTATGGTTTAGAATAAGTTATCTAATTAATTCCTTTGTGTGCATGTCCTTCTGAAAATGAGGCTGTTAATAATATTCTCTTTTATGGTTGTGGTTGAATTAAGTAAGTGCCGACAGGTCAATTGCTTAAAGCAGTCTCTAACACTAAGGACAAACGCAGATTGCTGACATCACCACCATTATCGACATGAACGTTTGTCCTTCCCAAGGACTGCAGCACTTGCTGCTTCTGTCCTAAGGCTTGGTAATACACGTTCCTAGGATTGGCACTTAAGATTGCCTCCTAAGTTCACAGTCTTAGATGTTTCCCCCATCGGCAGTGAATCTGTCATTCCTGGGCCGCAGTGAGACAGAAAAACAGAGGCATGGAGTTGAGGCAGTACATGCATCTCCTGCTCTGAGAATGAGAAAGGCGTGGTCCAGAGCCAGGATGTGCCCTTCAACAGCACACCGTAGAGCCTACTTCCCCTAGTTCACACTCATGACTATCAGTGAGAACTATGACTCATCAGTGGGTTCTTTGTTATGGGGATTTTCATTATCTTAAGAAAGCTTTTAAAATTCAAAATGTCACACACCAAAGTTAACCAGATCCAAAGTCTATGCCATGTAGAGTTAGATTTGGCATTTGGATTAACTCTTTGGTGACACTAGAACCTTGATGATCCGATTATCTCTCAGTAGTGCCACAGACAGTGAGTAAGCTTTCAGCAGAGGAACACTTCAGATTTAAAAGATAACAGGTCTGGTGTATTTTTCACAGTGTCCTTCTAAAACATAGCACAAGTCGTTTTCTGTTGAGTACAGTTAGCCCAAAGCAGAGAATGTGTGTTTTGGAAATTTACTGTTTTTCCCCCTCCTGTCTTATAAGCACTCACTGAGGGATGGTTTCAAGCAGGAAATTAATTAAAAAGTTCTCCTGTTGCTTTGGCCCAGTGAGGAATGCACAGCGGAAGCACATTCTCGCGGCCCATCAGATCATTCACAGCAACACGGAATCAGTGCTCCAGCAGATCGCCTTTGAGGAACTCCAGATAAAGGACTTTGAGCAGGCTGAGAGCCTAGGCTCTGACATGCCAACTTTCTCTGTCTCTGACACGTCAACTCTAAAACCTACTCAGGATGAGGGAGAAGGCTAGGTGAGTCTACCTTTCCACCGGAAGGAAGTCCTGGAGGATGAGAAGCAGCTCAATTCAGCATTGGGCACTACTTCAACCAAGTATGACATGAGTGGACTGTCTGTTGTTAAAAACAAAAAAACAAAAACAAAGCACTTTCACTAAAACCGGCTCACCTCATCTGGGTTAGGGTACTTATTGTTGAGTTTATTAGCTAGTTAGAGTTGGCTCTATAGCAACTGAACCTTGCAATCTAAAAAAATAAGACTGTAGGTTATTTTTGGGGAGGTCATTTTAGCCTATAATGTACTCCATCACAAATAAAGCATCATGGAAATGTGTGGACGTTGTTTGCAAAGCTTCTTCTCAGAGGTGGACAGCGTGTGCCTGGAGCACCAGGCTCCTCGTTAGTACAGACACAGAACACAGGACACAGGACACAGACAGGACACAGAGACACAGAGACAGAGAGACACAGAGACACAGACACACAGTCAACTTCAACCTAAACGTCTGCAGTGCACTCCAGGGACCGGTGATGGGCTCAACTAAATGTTCATATGCACAGAACTGGAGTAGTCCACATTTGGCACAGGCCTGCTCAGTGGGACATGAGATAGAACACACTGGGTGAGTACAGGACCTGCCTGCTGTACAAGCCTTGCAACCCAGAGGTTAGAGTCTCCTGTAATAATCTTGTTGGTGTAGTTTCCAGAGGCCTCCCAAACAGATTTTCCCACTTATAAAAGTTAGCACACTCAGAGAGGCTCACAGTTGTGGGCACTAGTAGGATGTTTGCAAGTCTTCCCAGTACAGGTGTGGTTTACCCATCAGGGGCCATTTTTACCTTAAGTAGTTAGTTGCTGGGTAACACAGTTGATACGTGGCACATAATCTACCAGAAGAGCTGAAGGGTTAATCCATTGAGAGGAAAGTCCTGCATGATCCATGGTAGATATATACAATATTTGTCAGTAAAATAATAAAATCTTTTTTTAAAAAATACGTCGACAGTAAGCCAAAGAGAACCAGAGAGAGTCAGAAACAGTGCTAATGACTTCCAGGGATCTGCATGTCACCTTTTTCCAGACACAGTTTGCATAGAACACATTCTTTATAGACGAGAAGGCAGGATGCAGAGAGAGGATTCCTCACGGGGAGGTGACTGTGGAAAATACACTGTAAGTACTTATGAAAATGCCACAGTGGAGCCCATCTTGTACAGTGATGGACATAAATCAGCAGCAGCAATAACAGAAAGCTGTTCTTTACAAACAGGCCTGCTCCTGATGTTCATGAGTCAAGAATATGAATTGAAAATATTTAAACCTTACAAATCAGTCTCACACAGTATTAGATAACTCGTGTTCTACCCCACTGGCTTTCACGATAACTTTAAAAGAGGTTGTGGGGAGGAAAAATATATGTGTGTGATATGAATAGAAACCAGGCTATATAAGATTACAAGGGAAACTGAGCAAGCCAGGGGGAGCAGACCTCGGGTAGTAAGCCACGGGGAGTAAGCCACGGGGAACAAGCCAGGGGATGAAGTCAGTAAGCAGCATTCTTCCATGGATTCTCCCTCAAGTTCTTTCCTTGCTGGAGTTTGGACTTGATTTCCCTCAGTGATGGATGGTGTTCTGGAAGAGTAAGTTAAATAACCCTTTCCTCCCCTAAGTTGTTTTCGATCATGGTATTTATCACAGCGACAGAAAGAAAAGTAGATCGTATGTCCTCCAAACAACACCAACAAAAACAACAACAAAACAAAAAGGAGATCGTCCCTCTGAGTCCTCCCTATGGCACCTCTGTGCTCTGGAGGTCCTTGGACCACCCCGCCTCCTTCCTTTGGCTTCGCCTGAACTTACACCATTAGTGTGTCATGAATTTTGTTGGCTCTCTTGAGTTTTCTTTTTTTTTTTTAATTTATGATTTTGTTTATATTTATGTTTTTATAAAATTTTACCAAGGACACTGACGGCCTAGACTTGCCTCCGGTGGATGGTTCAGGAGCTCATGGGTTTGGTGGCAGGGGAAGGTACTGGAGTAGAGGTCAGGGCTCCAGCGTCTCCTCCTTTCCAGCCATGCTTCGGAGTGACTCAGGCTCCTATCTGGGCCACCAGTCCGGAGTTTTTAGTAACTACCATATACTGGGTGTTTTAACTGGCTTCCAAATGAAGCCTTACCCACGTAAATGTTGATGCCTGGCAGCCTTGCAGTCTTCTTATGCCATCTAGAGCTCAGTACAGCATCTGCAGAGGAAGAGAGACCAGACAATTCCTCAGAAACCAGAGGGCATTTCTTTCCTTTGGTAAGTTCCTGATTTGTCCTGGATTCCCTGTTTCTGCTGTAAATAACTTGCCATTTTTATATGAGAGGTAAATAGAGACCTTTGTATGCCAAAAGAGCTCTGAGAGATGATAAAAGCTGTAATAATTTACCCGTGACCCCAGGACTTCTGGCAAGGTGCCCTGCCTGAGCTGGAATCCTGCCCGTTCATCTCAGCTACAAAAAGTGCCAGTCAGTACACAAAAAGACCTGCTCCCAGTCTTGGAAGTAAGTGTCCACTTTCAGTTTCCCCAGCCACTTAAGGCACTAGCCGCCAGGGCCGAGGGCATCACACCCTGATGATGTCCTACCACCCTAGAACTCACTAGGCAGGCTGCTTCTAGAAAGGTCTGAGGGAAGGAAAAAGCTCTCAGACAGTTCCCAGTAGGCCCATCCAGCTTTCTGCCCCATGGTTGGAACCACAAGGTCATACCTGTCTTGCAGCCATTTCCTCTGTCGTCCCTCTCGTTCCTCCCTCACTCTCACATCAACACTCCGGTGTCGTCCGTGTGGCCTTTTCCTCACTTTCATGTGAAATACTGCTGTCCAGGAAATTGACTTAGGAAAAAAAAAGTGTTAGGAGCTATAGATCTAAAGATGCTTTACATCCAGGGGCAAAAACACCCTCAGAGAGCCAGACATTGGCCCAGAATTACTTAAAGCATATACTTAAAACACACTTCCCCTTCCTTATATATTTTACAGTGAAGACAACTATGAAAAAAAAAAGGAAGGGGTATATAACAAGAGTAAATACGGTAATCTGGTCATTTGCTAGTTCAGGTGCTGGACTTGGGACTTAGGAGTGCCAACTGGGGCCTCTTACTACATTGGACCTGGGCTGTAATGTGGGCAAGAACAAGTATAGTTCCTATGCCCGTGGACGCCATAGCCTAAGATTAGCTGAGGGGGAGAATTGGAGTTAGAAAGTACTCATTTGTCTAGCAGGACAGTTAGCCTCTCCCTGGGAGCCTGACCTTGGCCCATAGGAAACACCAAAGACTTAAGCCGAGACCTGTGTGTGCAACCAGGCAGCCACGGCAGGTGTGCTGAGCTCTGGGCAGAGCCATTGTTCCTGATTCTTCAAAGTGGACCACAAGGGAGAAATCCAACAAAAGCAGCGGTCATCAAACAGGTATGAGTTTGCCTTCTTTCTCTTTCTGGGAGTCAAATGCCCTCTGCCTCTCTACAGGTTTGTGGGAACACAAGTGAGATCGGAGGTCAGCAGTGTAATGGGGTGTGGAGACGGTGGCACCGTCTTCTTTCAAACAAAGCATGAAGACAGTTGTGGAGCCCAGGGGGGACTGCTGCTCCATGGCCTCCATTTGTGTTGCTAGGAAGCATCACAACAGAAGCCTTGCATATGTGCTATCAGGCATCAGACAGGCAGCCGAGCCGCTCTGTGGCAGGGCTAGAGCCCCTGACCTAGGAAAGGCCACTGCTGAAGACTGTAAGAACCAGGACCTATTAGCACTGGCTCCTGGAGCTTGTCAGGTTAGTGCTGTTGTCAGGTTAGTGCTGACAGCCCCCAGGGACACGGGCCTCGGAAGGACGGTCACAGGCCTCACATCCTCATTCGTGGTGTCTTTGCAGTGTGGTCAGCTTTAGACTACTGAATTTTCAACCTGTTTGTCAGAGCCACTCCTGTTTATGTTCAGCATCCTCAGACCAGTCTCTGCCCCGTACAACAGCCTGTGGGGCAGGCCAGAGACACGGCTTTAAGGCTCCTCCTCATCCAGGTACCTTAGGAGACACCTTCAAGGCCACCAAACCTTCCTTCTGTGCTTGAGGTGTGGCACTGTCCCTTGCTCGTGCATGGCTGCTTTTCATTCCTGCTGGGAAGGCAAAGGGCCACCTACCACACAGATGGAAGGTGGCTGAGGTATCTACACAGAGATGATCCTTGGTCTCTAATGACATGGCCAGAGTCTAAAGTATTCTGAGCAAGGCCTCTGAGGCTATGGCTTACCCTGTTGGTTAATAGAAAGATTATTTTTTTCAATACACAAAAGTAGTTGCTTAAAAATGCTTTAGTTATATAATGAACGTTATCTAAACTGGGATCACCAAGTTATAGCTCTCGGGCCAAATCTGGCCCATCAGCTATGTTCTATCAATAAAGTTGTGTTGGAACACAAAGTCATGAGGCTGTTTTTGTCCTATACAGAGGAAGCAAATGGTCCTTCACAGAGAACATTGCCAACTAGTCTAAAGGCAACTAACTTGATGCTAAGCAATTGTGAAATAAACGAAGTAGACCACTACAAAATTAATTAGACGGTTTTGTAGGTGGTCACTGTTTAAATTGTCAAGCAACTCATGACTGATCGCATGCTCTGTGTAGAATGAAAATGCAGTGTAAATACAGCTAACTACTTCTCCTAGTCCCTGTCTCCCACCAAAGCAACCAGCACAGTGTGTTTATGCCAGACCACAGCCTTTGCATTCACGTCTGTGTTCACGTCCTAACGACTGTCATGTGACTTGTATTGTTTCTCCACCACGCGTGACTTAAGAGATCTTCCACATTGCATAAAACCCTGTCTCGTTTATTTTAACCACTTTAAGAGTTAAGTGTTTATTTTTAAACTTTTTGTTACAAGCATCTATCCAGAGTGTATGTGTGTGCGTGCATACATGCCATGGCACTCGCGTGGGAGGTCAGGGGATAAATGGCGGGAGTCCATTCTCTCCTTCCACTATGTGGGTTCTAGGGAAGGAACTCAGGTCTTCAAGCTTGATGGCAAATCCTGCACCCCTGCACATGTTCACTACTTCTGGGTCTAACAACCTTTCTGCCGCCCTCTTCACTCTTCTGTAAAGTCCTTGGAGAGAGAAAAGCGACATGGCTGTCCATTTAGAGCTCAGCACTCTGCTGTCGTCTTACTGTACGTCGACCAGTCGTGAGCCTCTGTATCAATCGCCAGCCATTGCATGAAAAAGCCTTCTCTGATGAGGGTTGAGGGGTACACTAATCTATGGGTATGAAGAGAAGAAGTTAGGGTGCAGTTTAACAGTTTGTCTATTTAGCAGAATAATAAGAATGGGTTCCCCTCCAAAGTCTATCACCTAGCCAGCCATGGAGTTTTGGCCCAGGTAATGGTACCAGGCTTGACTTGTGCCTTGTGAAGTGGCATCTTTAATCCTTTAATCCAATTACAAAGTTGTTGCTCCCTCCAGTAACATCCCTGCCACTTCAGCGGCAGTGTGCGCATATTGCCAGACTAATCTTTATGCTAGCTTTATGCTAATCTTTATGCTAGCTTAAAGGGCAGGTTCACTTGCAGGACAGGGCTGCAGATGCCGTTTCTCCCCTGGTTGCATGCGTAGAACCTTTCAGCACTCCAAAGCTACGCAGTAGGGATGGCATTTCCAGGTCAGCACCAGCTTCATCCCCCCGTGTCTTACAATGTACATACGTAGGCTGTGTCTGTAGCTCTAGGGTCTGACCATCAAATTCTGGGGGGAAACCAAGAGCAATGGCAACAGCCTGTAGGTTTAGGGAAAGATCTGTGAAACTGCCTTGACTGACAACTCAGAGGTAGGTGGCCCCTGCCTAGCCCTGGGATTTTTATATTACAGCCTATGGTGCCGGGGAAAGCATTGTCTTTCCTCTTCTCTCACTACAGGGCAGCTCCATTTAAACTCATGTAATATACACATAGATTTTAGGAAGATTTCACCGCGTATATTTCCATGTGACTTTTCTAAAGGTCTCTAGAGTCAGTTATCCTGCCCCATCCCCCTCCTCCATCCTGCCTTGTACCCCATTTAACCCCTCCTATTCCATCATTGCCCCTTTCTCTTCATACCACCTGTTCTAACTCCCCTTCCTTGAAATCCCTCCTCCATGCCCCCTTACTAATTTTCTGCCTTCCATGTGTACCCCAACTTAAACACATGCATCTAAGTATTCAAAGCCGGCATCTGCGTGTGAGAGACAAATCGTGGCATCTGTCCTTACCTCATTCAGAGTGATTACTTCTACATCGATTCACCTGCAGGTTTCATTTTTCTCTACAGCTGGGTAATATCTCACTGTGTGTGTATACCACGTTTTACAGC